TATATATATATGAATAAAAAGTAATAACGTAAAACATCAAATATAAATTTGTGTGCATATATATATATATTATGTATGTTCATAATATTTATTTTTTCCCTTAAGACCAGAAGGCAGGCGAGTGGTAAAAAGAATGGTGAGAGATACAATGTATAAACAAACAAAAAGCTAGGACAAAAAGATAACAGACACCACAGAATAAAACAAATAGCACAACTAATGTACATCTGACGACTGATACGACAAAGTGACATGTTGATGTTTCCACACCCCCACTTGAAGCAGTTTAGATCATTTAAGTCGCGGGATTCAATCCTGCCTCTCTCAGAGCCAACCCAGGATCCCAGCAGATAGATTGATTTGCTAGATTAGAGTTCTTCCCACACGAGAATAGAACGCGGATCTTCTGTGAATGACAGTGAAGCGCCCAGCCGCTACACCACAGGTCCATAGACACCAGTTTGTATTTATATATCTGGGATTTTGCTGGGTTACACAGAAACACGATGTTTTAGAGACATCGGCCTTTGAGTTGTTAGTGATGTGGCAAATGTATAATGACAAACAGTCAATTGTATTTTAGAGACAGGTTTTATAACTCCTATTGGCTCGACTTATTCACTCTAGCTCGCAATAACCAGTCATAAAGCTTTCTTGTATTTACCCAAGCGATGTTAGACACACATAAACATTGCTCGTATTTTACGACAGGTTGAGATTTTAAAAAAAAAAAGAAAAAAAAATGAGTCGAAAATCCATTACCAGCTTTTTGTTGTTGTTTTTATAAAAAAATTCAAATCAGAAGGCAATTGAATGGCACTGCTACACTTACAAGTTAGAATAGCAGTGAATAGTTCCAAAAATGGTGCATGTTGTTGAACAGTAGAAAGGAACGGGCACATTTCTGCTTTCCATGTCCCCGGTAATGCATCAAAAAACTCAAGCAAACAAATAAACAAAACACACAGCTCCTGAGGTCTTTGTCCTGCCATGTTGTCGTTAGAGAATCGTTGTCGTCGCACTTTAAGGGAGCGACAGTTTCCCAAATCGATTAGTTAAGTTCAATAGACGTATAGAAATGTATTAGTGTGAGTCTTGAGTTTCACGGCACTTGCGCGACAATTAGGTTATAATTATTAGTGCCGAAGATTAAATTTTAACGCGTTACTGGAAAGTTACAAACGAACGAGGGAGGAGAGAAAAAAGAAGATAGATGTTTGATGAGGAAGAAGGGGTAAATGTCCCACGTACACCCGTCAACCGCCCACCTACCAACACGTGAAGATATGAAAGTGTAATAAATTGTTCTGTAGCCTATCGCTGTGCCTTTCCCGAGCAAGTGCAATAAATTGTATTTCAGCTTATTGCTTTTGATCTTTTATTGTTTTTTTGATTTATGTGAGCTGGTAATTAATTTTTAGTTTTAGCTTATCTTCGACGTCAGGTCGTTGGCTCAACATCGTGATGTCCTTGGGGGAACAACCACTCTACACTACAATTAATATTTTCCTCACTCCACCAAAGTGTCTCGAGCTCATAATGTAATCTTACACAGTTGTAAGCGCCGCAAAATTCTTACCAAACGCAACTTCACCCACGTGGGAATGAGTACCCTGCTATTGACGGTGAAAAGATCTTGTCAGTGTATTAGATCTATTAGTTTTTGAGCCATTAATCGGCTGTATGCACTATAATAATAATTTGTTTCCAGGGAAACCAGGATTGTTTCTGGGTGTTCTTGGGTCTACCGAAGTATTAAAACGTGTAAATCTCCTAGAGCAGTTTGCAGAGCGTGGATAAGTACTGTGTAAACATTGCAGTCATAAAAGACACTTTAAGGCTACATTGTATTCCTTGCAAATGTTTATTTTTAAATGGAGCTAGTTTTTTCGGCAGCTTGCTCTCTCAATGGTGGAATAACACCC